GACAAACCTAATAATGAAAAGCAATGTTAGTTAAAAATGTTGTCTCTAAAGGCCTGTCAAAGCTTGTATTTAGCATATATTTTTGGGGGTTGTGGGGGTGATGCAGCATAGTTCTTAGGTTTTTCTATTGCTGAAATAACACTGTAAATCTCTTCCTACCCATGCCTTAAATTCCTCAGTATTTCTGGTCTTGCACAACAACATATCTGTGAGCTTATATGTCTTCTTAGAAATAACAGACTTACTTTGGAACATAAGCACTTAGGAAATGTTCAGCCACTTGTGATCTTGCATTAGTACATTTTCCAAGCTATTCTAGGCAGATAGAGCAAATCAGAGAAAGTTCTTACCTCTTGGAGGGCGTAAGACAATGCACATCACCAATAAGGCAAGCACAGCAGAGGTGGCAACTCCAAATACGATTTTTACCCAAGTCTACATAAAATAAAGAGAATTAGGCATACACATAGTTCCTGCTAAATAGTAGAAATGGCAAGATTTTGTTTACACCTAAATCCTATTTCTCTCGCCCCACGAAGCTTTTGATTGTCTTCCACTGATCCGGCTATAATTGCTGGAATTCTTCCAGCTCTGCAAGGACAAATGTTTCTACAGTATATTTGAACAATTTTCCAATCCCAACCCATTCAGGAAGTAAATACTTATGTAAAAAATCCTCACCTTTTAAACAATAGAAAACTCTGATCACGTTCAATCCAGCCAACCTTAATTTTTTTAACGATACTTGAGGTTGCTTATACTAACCTTCATTTTTCCAGATGTTTTTGAAAGTTAGCTAATTCTGCTTCAGAGCGTGGGTCACTGGATCTGTGAAAACCGTTGAAAAGGACCAAGTCTGTCTTTGTAGTTGGAAGCTGAAGCCAGGACAAGGTTTTTTTCTTTCCACGGACTTTTGAATACCGTGCCAAGTTTCAAAAGATTTCTGTAAAATTAGAAACAGATTTTGGGGGCGTTCTTGGCCCTCAAATGAACTGTGAGTGACTCAGGGAAGGTTTTATAGCCTTCTCATCCTTGTAAATTCTACACCAACATCTGCTTACGTTGACATACAGAGGTTTTTATTTTTTCTTTTTTACAAGTACAGGTTTATGTTGCATTTTCTTCTAGAATTCACTGAGAGATCGCTTTAGCAAGTCATTGAGTTTCGTATAACATTTTTATTTGCCACTAAAAGATGAATTTAAAATAATGAAACTTGCAGGTCTGTACATTAAACGTATATCTACTTTTTGACAGAGGAAGAACATTGAAGCCACATAAGATTTTGTGAGAAATGCACCATATAACTGCACTTTTTTTTCCTCTGGAAGATTCTGAGGTATTGCAGACAGAAATGTTTTTCTTTCAGCACAATTTCTTTGTCCATATAGCACCATATGCACTTTCAGTAAATACAGAAGTTTAAAAATTCAACTGTCTAAACCCACGGCTGCTTTACTTTAAAGAAATAAAATGCCATCTGGTGAAATTTAGTATGGGTTAGGTGTGTATGCACAGGCTAGAAAGATGGAAAGATCAGTAAGAATAATTTACCAGCAGACCTTTGGAAGAATGGAAATGGCTTTACAAGAGTGGTATTTTTGCTTTCCTCTCAGAATATCTTCTGAGAGAGAGAACATTTAGTAATTATAAAGATTTAAAAATAAATAAAAAAGCATCTGAAAAGAGAAGTAAATCTTATGTACAGTTTCATTTGGGCTAAATCTACATAATTCCAAAGAAATTGGTCATCTTGACAGATTAGTAAAATGGTTGACTGAATTAAAAAAAATACACATACAACAGTTTCTTGGAGTGTTCTGTCTGTTTTAATGCAATTCACTTGGATAGATTTTGTGGTTCCACGTAAACACAGTTGTTAAATCTACTGTGTCCTTAATTTTTCAACTAATGGTTTTCTTTTTTGGAAGTTTATAATGTTCCCAACTTGATTAAAACACTTCATGGCAACCTTTCTTGGATTGTACATGAAAGGTAATGGGGAAATGTTACCAAAACATGTTGCTGTTTGCCTTCGTCAACTTGTCTGGCTACCATGGGACAGTTTCTCCAGCAAAGAGCAGGACAGTGGCTTGTGAACTTCCTTTCAGACATTCTCCAGACATCCCTCCCTGAATTCCAGCCTTATGAAACTTCTGTTGAGGAAAATGAGTCATTAGGCACTTACTGGCAGAGAACTGTGTTCCTCGTGGCTTGGGGCTGGGCCCTCTCCTTTGCTGTTGGTGGAGTCACCTCTTTACAAACTGAAGTAATCATTAAGAGTAATATCCAAGGTGTGCTATACACTTGTAGGTATCTCCAAGTCATTGTGAAATCCTCAGATCTGAGATAAAAGCCAGCAGCCAGGTCCTGAATGAAGTGTTTCTCTGTAAGTCCTCTCAGATTATCTTCTCTGGAACACACCGTGTTCTCAGAAGTTCTGTCCTAGCCTGCCAAAGCCCCAGAGTACACAGGTACTTTTTAGTGGGTGATTTCCAAGACTTTACATTGTAGAAAGAAACTATAATAAATTATTAGGGTGTAATTAACAGACCATGCTGAGAGCATATTAGCTGTAGCAATTAAGAATGCACTGACATGTGACTGGTCTGAGCACCACTTAGGATTCTATGACTGTGTGTGGGGGTCCACAGGATACTTATTTAACAGGCACTATGAAGAAGTTGGAGTGCTTTAAGACACATTTAAGTTGCATCTATTAGTAAGGGGGGGAAATGATGAGAGTGAAACAATGTCTGTTTAAGTTTTTTTGTTTTTTCCTTGGAAGGTTGGGTGAGTCAAGCTGTAACTTCTGGAAAATTCTTACTAGTTTGAACTGTTTTAAGGAAAATGAGACTGACTGCAGAAATAAAGATGTCCAGTTTTTCCATCTGATTTCATGCTTTAGGGAGGTATTGTTTTTATAGAGTTACACATGTTGGTTCGTTTGAGACAATGTGAATGTGTTCTAATTTTCATCCAGACAAGAACTCCCATAAAATTTGGATTTTTAAAATATTATAACATCTTTATTAGCTTTTTAAAAATTTTGGAGTCAAAGTGAAAATGCTTTTGTTAACTTTTTAAAAACATTTAGGAAACTGACTCTTATTCCTACGTTATACAATTAGTTAACACCCAATCAACATTTTTGTTGAGAAAACAAAAAGGAATCAGACACAGTATGTGCCCTTAAGGAACTTACATTCTAGTACAAATATGGCAGGTCCGTTCTTACATACTTGCTTCCTTTTGCTTCCTAAAGCTCTTGTTCAGAAATAGCCTGAAGCTGAGTTTGTGTTTTGTAGAAGGAGTGTTCTCACTGGTTGGTGATTTCTGCACGGACCTGGGAAGAGGACTGGAAAGGACACATATCACATGCATGTAATCCTCAGTTCAAGTGTAACCTTTGTTAGGACTGAGACTTTTCTCAGAAAGCAATTCTGGGTCTATAAAAATGCTACAAAAGCAGAAAGGATGATGATTTGGCATGTATAAAGGTAAGGCCAGCAATTAGGAGAGTAGAGGCTCATCAATTGAGTTCTTTCCAGAGAGGGATCTTGTAAGACTGACTTTGGAATATGACTGCATTCTGGTAAGCCTGCTGGATAAATGAGCTATAACATAAATCCTTAGGTTATAAGGAGGAGAGCTTACTAAAACAGTTTATTAATAGCCAATGTATGTCTGCCAAAAATGATTTTAATTTATATGTTTTCCCAGAAAACACATTCAGCTGTGTATTTCTAGAGTCTGAAGGTAAGACCACGCTGAGAGCATAAGGATGTTATCTTTTTATTTTATGGTGGGGAGATGAAAGAGAGATGTGTTTATTAACCAAAAGCCATGACAAATTATTTTAAAGACAAGTTACAAGTAAGGGGAATAATGATAGAAGTGCAGTAAACATAAGCCTGATTTTATACTCTAAAGTAAAAATTTGCTTCTAGAAAACCTAAAAGCTCCTAACATCCTACCCATTTGATTCCTCAGATTCAATGAACATTTACTGTTTACTGTTATCTACAAAGTGATTTAATGCATTATTTCATTTGATCCATACCAAAACTCATTTTGCTGATTAGGAAACAGCCTAGAAAAACTGGATAACTTGCCGAAGATTTTAACAGGATCCAGTGTTGCTATCTTACATTGCTTTTTGTGATACTTCCTAAAATTTTATTCCAAAGTGATAAACATATATGTTTTAAAATTATAATTGACATTTCACCAATTTGCTATTGGGGGACACCTTAAGGTTGTGAGGGTAAAATAATTAAGGCTAAAATATTAATGATCTTCACATCCTGAAAGTACCTTGTTACATATGTCTCAAAAGAACACAATTTCACTCTACAAGGACTGTGTTCAAAATATTAATTTGTTTAGAGTTTTCTTTAAATTGGGGTCTAGTAATCAGATAATTATTTATACAGTGCCTGGGTTAAAAGCTCTTCCTCCAGGGACTTGCTTAAATCAAAGGATTGATCAAAATACCCATCAACAAAGAGATTTTTGAGTTCCAAGCTAGAAAGAGTCCTGAGGTCTTCAAAGCTCAAAATAACTATTACATAGTTATAGATCTGGAAGAAATGGCATAATATAGCATCAGTGGGAAATGATATAGCTCAAACTATTTTTTGAATCTGATCTCTTTCTAAAACCACAAGTGTTACATAAGGAAGAATATAAAGCCACATGACTCCCAGTTTGTAATTGGTATCTGCTACCTTCATAAAAGTTGTAATTAGATGTCAGTGTTTCATTATCCTATCATAATTAGGGCAAGGGCTCCTTGGAGACCCAAAGGATTAACTATCAAAATGGGATTAGAAAAGAAACAGAACAGAGACACAACCCATTTTTTTGAGTGCTGAGGGTACAAAGACTCAGAAGAGAAATCAGTGCTTCATTGTCATTTAAACAGGGAAATACTACATCTCTTTAGAAGTGGTTAACTTACAAGAAGACTGTTTAAACAGTATAAATAGAATGTTTAAGCACCTATAGACTTTAACATAACTTATTAACACATATTGCTTTTTCACTAGCATTTTCAGGTTAAAGAATATTACTACTACTAGTTAATGTCTATTGAATACTTTTATTGATCATGACGTTTCTTCTCAGCACTTTGCATGTGCTATCTCCTTTCATCCCCAGAACATTCATACTATTATTATCCTCATTTTACAGATGAGGACACGGATGCACAGAAAATCTAAATAACTTCCCCGAAGTCCCACAACTTATGAGTGGTAGGGATGGGATAAACCCAGATAGTCTCACATTATAACACAATTGGATTGACCCATGCTTAGGGCTCTCAGAGGAGGGTATATATTGGTACAGTGATTGGGATGTATGATCCAGCTGGAACTAGGAAGAGATGAAGATGGAAGGAAAAAATACATGGGCTAAAAAACTGGACATTTTGATGAGTTCAAAGTATGAGTCCTAGTAGTAACTAGCAGTAGGATAGGAAATAAAAGAGATTTTTTACCAGATAGCTGCAGGTTGTATTTAAGATTTCAGTTCAAGTTACAACGAGACCTAAGGTATGGTCACAGAAGTAAGTAGCTGAGATAGAAGAAAGAAGTGAAGGTCCTTAGAGATACAGTTGGCAAAGCAGTGAGAGGCTAAGGTATCCTTTGGGATGTTCATCTGGGAACTTAATTCACCTCAAATTATGTCGATAATTAAGGGCAGCAGAGAAATGCCCTGAGTTATATCCCCAATTCTGTATAAAATGGATGGAGAGATTTCCAGTTTAAGATGCCATATTGAACATATACATTGATCTCTTTGCCTTTGGAAACTCCATTAAGCTGATTGTAAAGGACGAAAAGGATACTGACATGACAATGAAGAGACTGAAGAAGTATCATCAATGGATAAAGCAAAACAGAAATAGCAGCTGCCTGGACCACGCCTAGAAAGGAATCCTTTTGCCTGGCAGAAGCATGAAACAGTTCCATATTTGAGATGGCATTTACCACTGAGGGTAAGAAAGGGAGATGGGGGCTGAAAAAAGAGGACTGTTTGGAAATCCATACATGGACTCTTCACCTCTGGGTGAAAAAAAAAAAAAAATCTGCAGCTAAGCATCTATCCTAGGAGCATGTATAGGAGTCAGTGCACCAAAGTCAATCCAGTCCTCCAGTTTAATGGCTTTCTGACCTTTATCCTTAAACCCACCAATTGTATACCAGGATCTCTCCAGTCTCACCTCATTCTTAATCTGCAACAAAAATAAGAATCAGTAGACAAGAATAATATTTTTAAAAAAGAAAAAAGAAAAAGAATCAAAACCCCAAAACATGAAAGAAAAAACAATTTTTTAAGCAACATGAATAAATTTTGAAAATGACCATAGAGATAATTCTGGGAACAGAGGCCTTTTAAAATGTTTGAATTAGCATTCTCAGTGAGATTCAACAAGATATTGCCACAATTTAGAGACCAAGTTTAAAAAATGTAACATTCGAAAAAACTTCTTATGATAGATAAGTTTATGTGTCAACTTACTGGGATAATAGATAAGTTTATGTGTCAACTTGCCAGGATAAGGAATGCCCAGATAGCAGGTAAAACATTATTTCTGAGTTTATCTTTGAGGGTGTTCCTCGAAGAAATTAGCATTTGAATCAGTATCGAGAAAAGAAGATCAGTCCTTAACAGTGTGGGTGGAAATCTCCCAATCTACTGAAGGTCTAGATTGAACGAAAGGGCAAAGGAAAGATGATTCTCTCTCTGTTCTTGAGCTGGAACATCAATCTTGTCCTGCTCTAAGATCCTGGTTCTCAGACCTTCTGACTCTGAAACTTACACCAGGGCCTTTCCTCACTTTTAACCTCTATAATTGCATAAGGCTACCCATAATAAGTCTCCTCTTATCTACCTATCTAACATCTATCTATCATCTATCTATCTATCTATCTATCTATCTATCTATCTATCTATCTCCCATTAGTTCATTTCTCTGAAGAATCTTGATGAATATGCTCTAAGGTATTGAAAATATGATCACCAAAGTTTATTTAAATCAAAATAGGTTTTGTGAAATAAAATCGAGGAAGCCCCTCAGAACAGAAAGGCAAAGTTGGATAATATAATGGAAAGTTAAGAGACATAAAATATAAACTCAGGAAGTTTGAGGAATAAAGGGCAAAGAAGGCAGAGGGGAAGAGGTTATTACAGGATGAATGCAAGGGAATTTCCCCAAACTGTAGAAGAAAATATGTTTTTCAGGGCCCACAAAATATCCAGCACAAAATATGATAAAAGACTTATACCTAAACACATAATTGTGAAATTCTATGATATTGATTATAAAGATAAAATTTTATATTCTTCCTTAGAAAAAAAAATAAGTATCATGTGAAAGAATCAAGAATTGGACTGACCACACACTTGTCACTGCCAGTCAGATTCTGCAAAACAATGGATCTATTTTTTCAAAGTTCTGAAATAAAATACTAATCAAACTAGAATCTACTTAACTAAGACACTGTTAAACATGAGGACAAAATAAAAGATTTTCAGATGTGTGATAAATCAGAGTTTATACTCCGAGCATTCTTTTGTAGAAAGGAACTCAAGGGTGTATTTCAGCAAAATAAAGAAGTAAAGTACTAGAGCCATCACTCAGAGAGCAAATGACGAGACCAGATGCTAACAACAAACGTTGTGTGACTTCCTATCTCCAGCCACTTCTGAAGTCAGATCTACTTTCTTGAGTAAGTAATTTTTTTCTAAGTTTGTGTTGTTTTTCATACCATTTGGAACCAAGAGTCCTGGTAGTCACAATAATGTTTGGAGATACTAGATGGACTGTAAAAGCAGAGTCTCTAAGTACCTTCTTCGCTGAACAGCATGGTAATTGGTGCCACAGAGAAAGAAATGTGATCCTACCAAACCAGTTAGCTCAAGAGCAATGCTTAAGTAGTCATAGTAATTTAAACTGTTTATTGATTTAAAATTTTTAGAAGTCACTGAGACCTTTATAGTCAGAGAAATTGTCAATCTTAAGAAGTATAAAAGTAAATGTACGTGTAACCAAAGTTGGGAAGTCAAAGAGAGTGAAGAAAGGTAGGTAAGGAAGACAGAGGGCAGGAAAGCCCATGTCCTCATCTCCCAAAGCAGATAGTGAAGAGATCTCACCTGTGAAGACCAGAATAAGAATTGGAGGCACACATAACAGTCCCTGCCATGATATCACCAAATGGTGTTGAGAACACATTGTAGGAAGGGAAATACATTCATAGAAATACAGAAGCCACAAGATTTTTAAATGTAATTTCAGAACTACAAAAATAAGTCTACAAACTCATGTGATGGATATTAGGTCTATTCCTAACTAGTCTTATACTATAGATGAAATTTGTGCTTGGCGTCTTTTTCCCTTTTTAGGAACATTTGCTCCACAGTGCAGTAAAAAAAAAAAATAAATAATAAAAATGGGTAAAGGACCAAAGCAGGCAGTTCATGCAGGCAAATCCACACATTCACAAAAGGTGAAAATATAAAATTAAAAATGTTAAATATTTCAAAATAGGATCATTTTAATTTGAATTATCAGAGATTAAAAAGACTAGAGAACCCTACTGGTAGCAAGGCTGTAGAGAAGCTGGCACTTTCATACTCAGCTGGTGGTAGAAGAAGGACTGAAACTTTCTGGAGGGAAATTTAGGAGTAAACGTCAAAATTACACATATTTTTTGGTATAGCAAACCTAACTCTAGGAATGTGCTTTAAGGTTAACATGGATAAGTGTACAAAGATGCAAATTCAAGAATATTTTTTGAAACTCTGTTTACAGTATCCAGAAATTAAAACTATTTGAGAATTCATCCAGACAAAATTAGACAAATAAATTATGTAACACATAAAAATGAAGGATACAGGTCTAAATTGGTTGACATGGAAAATGTCTAAAATCTGTTGCTTAGTATATACAATATGACTTTATTTTTGTGGAGGGGAAGAAGGAAATATTTATGTATCTGTGTACATAGTGGAAACTCTAGAAATACATGTCTCAGAGCCGTGAGGACCAAGGTGGGGCTTGGTGCCATGGTGTGTCCTGGAATCAGATAAGAAAAGCGGTGCAATGCCTACGGTATATTTATAAATAGTAGTAAATATCACTAAAAGTTGGTCTTCTGTTTATTATCACTATGTCCAGAAATTCTAAACTATTTTCAAGATAGAACACTTTTTCCTGCTGAGGCAGATGACTCTGCTCCCACTGTACCCCTTCCTTGGTGTGCTAATCTATCAGAGGTCAAAAATATGTATCCTAGTGAGAAAATAAAATTAGGTAAGAGGGCGAGCTGATCAAGAAAGTTATAGAACGTATTTCTTTGTGTAAGTAAAAAATACCAGGTCAAGTTTAGGACCTTCCAGTCCTTGCCTGGTCTGCCATGTGGACTTCCTGGACTCCCTGTCCTCCAGTTTGGCCCCTGGCCCATCAGAGGGAGCCTGGGGTCCACTCTCCACAAACCTGCCGGCCATGCCACAAATGCAGCCTTTTTCTTTCATGAGCTTGAATGATTTTTTTAAAAGTCTTATTCCCATGGCAAGTTTGAATTTTAAAAGAGAATCACTAAAAATGCCATGCTTTAATCTAAAGTAATGAATATCTTAACAGTGGTGAATTCAGGCAGCATGGCTGGCTGATGGGAAAGTTATGTAACTATTTCAGGAAGTAGATTTTAAGGCAGTAAAGAGTCTGGGAAAGGAGGAGACAGAAATTTGTGTAGCACATCTTACATCATATCATAATATCATACAGTTACCATGAGTAAGGCCAGGCCTCAGGTTTTCCAGATATAATTGAGATACTATCATAAAAAAATTAACTGGCCCTGACTCAAGGTCTGTGTAGTTTTAAGCCCATACATACATAATGTTTCTTATGTGTCTGGTAGAAGGCCCTGGGAAAGAAAAAGAGAATGATAGGAACATAATATTTATGGATGAAAAAATAATAAAGACATTACCAAAATGGGCTAAGTCCATGCTCAAATGTTACCTTCTAAATTAGGCCCAATTCCCCATTTAAAATCAGCTCCCCTTAGCTTCCCATTTTTCTGATCTTACTTTTTTCCCCCCAATAGATCTTACTACCATCCAACATCTTATAACATTTATTATTTTTATTGCTTATTGCCTCTTTTCCCTGCATGGAGCTCCATGAGGGCAAGTACTTTTGTTTGTTTTGCTCATATATCCCAAGAGCTGAGGAACAATGCTTGGCATAAAATAAGTATTTAATCAGTATTGTTGCCTGAATGAATGAATGAATGAATGAATGAATGTAGGACAGAGAGGATACGGAGCTGTCCTGTGGCCCTCTGTGGCCCAAGCTAGATGACACCAAGAGGGAGCACTTCCAAGTGTGATCAGGAAAGGGTCAAGCTCCTTTTTTTTATTAAACGATTAGATGTTAACCATTATTATCTAAAAATGGTCATTTAATCCTTGTGCTACTGCTTCAGGGTGCCTTTCAAGATAAATTGCAGGTTTTAAAAAAATTGTAATGTGGAGAACTAGTAATAGGAGAGTTTACTGCAGCTATTCAGTTATTTTTCCTGAGAACTGAGGAAAAATTACCAGCTATTTATGAGAAGTATCTGTTTCATGGATTAGTAAAGTGAGAATTAGTTGAACTCCATGTCTACTTCCTTTTGACATTTTAATTAGTGAAATTTGAATTAATGTATAATCGAATAATACTGGGATCCAATGTGATTCTTTTCAGCAATTGGTAGTTTATATAAAAATATACGGTAGTACTAGAATACTATAATTAATTATAATAACAATCATTTGATTAAATTCTGGAAATGCTAGAAATCTCAAAAAATCCTTGTCAGGTTCATGTGCCAAAACTGTGGAACTCTTTTTTTAACAAGTGATTTACCATGCTCTTGGGGGATGACTTGGTATAACATCAATTTTAGTAGCAATGCTAAGCTAATGTAGACAAGGAGTTGTCTGGGGGCCTCTGAGCTCTGCAAAGCCTATGGGGCCATCTGGACCATCAGGCTGCTGAGGGATTGAGCTTTCCCTCCAATTGGCACAAACTCTGATGCAGCAAGTTCTCCCTTTCATGCTGCCTCCTCCTCCAGACTCATCCTCTGGAAGAAAGCGTCACAGGGGAGGGAGTTGTGAAGAAGGATGGAGGAAGCAGTAGGCAGGAGAAAGGAAAGCCGGGGAAGGTGGACTCTCTGGAACGGCACAATCTGTTCAGGCATTAATTTACTGTCCTATTATGTGACTGCCACTACCAAGGGCAGGACTTTGTGTAGCAGACAAGCCCAAGTTTTAAGACAAAGAGGATTTGATCTCCCTACACCCCATCTTTTAAAGTGTTAAAAGACTACCAGACAGGACTAGACTACCAGTCTAAGGCAGTGAAGAGAGTGTTTTGGGAAAGCAGGGACCCACAGACACCAGCATGGGGTCATAAATATAAAGGCTAGAAGGGTGGAATTTCCCTGAGGAAGAAGAAAGAAAATGAAGGCAATGATTGCATTAAAAGATGAAGCTACTAATGTCAATGGCAGAACTGCTCTGCATCTCTACCCATGCAGATCAACCCTGGAGAGTCAGGAAAAGTAAAGACAAGACAGTACTCTGGTGGTGTCAATACATGTATGGGCTACCATATTGTGCCATTGATATCTTTTTCATTTGGGGATATATTTCTCATGCTTTGACCCAATGCTGTTGCTGAAACTCAATTTTGACCATGCCCTTTACTCAGTTGTCACTTTGATCTTTGGGAAAAATATAGGGAAAGAAAGGCAATGGGAGTGAGCAGACACGAAGAGCCAGAGGGTCAGAGTATGTCCTAGCCTTGTTCGCATGTGGGGAAGTATAAGACATAAAAATGAATCAGAGCCTTGTTCTGCTTTTCCTCCCCTACCTCAAACACTGCTAATGATCTTGCCTTGGTAAAAAAGAGACTACTTTATATTCTCTTTTAAACTGAGTTTCCTGGAAACAGATTTTGAGATGAAGAGACGCAAACAGAGTTAGTTTATTTTTTTGGAAGGAGTAAGGGGGAGTTGCTCTTACAAGAGACACCTGTAGGAAAGTGAAGGAAACAGGATGGGGCAGAATGAAATGCTGAACTGCAGTACAGTGGCAAAGGAGGCCTCCGTCAACCCTTTAGAGACTTCAGGATTTGGACTGTCCCTTCAGAGTTGTCTCAAGTGGAGTAAATGAAACAGACTTATGCCCCTCATCAGTCATTATCTGGCTTCAGGCTACCCTCCAGAGGGCATAGCCTGAGGGAAAGTAGTTCCCCACAGCCTAGGACAATACCCATCAAGAGAGGCAGCTGTGAACTGTCAGCAGCCATATTCATAGCCCCAGGAAGGTGAGTACCTTGACCCTGAAGAGAGAATCTTCACAAAAAATCTGTCTTGGTCCATTCCTCTGCTATAACAAAATACCTGAGACTGGGTAATTTATAAACAATAGCAATTTATTTCTCACAGTTCTAAATGATGCAAAGCCCAAGATTAAAGCATTGGCATTTGGGTGTCTGGTGAGGGCCTTCTTGCCGTGTCTTCATATGACAAAGAGTGGAAGGGCAAAAGGAGCCTAATAGCTCACTCCCATAAGCCTTTTTATAAGGGCATTAATTCCACTCATAAGGACAGAGCCCTCATAGTCTGATCACCTCCTACAGACCCTTCTTAATACTATCACATTGGGTCTTAGG